ATTGTCTCACATTAGAAAAGGACTTATACCAACTCTACTGTCTCACATTAGAAAGGAAGTTTTGGAAGGACTTATACCAACTCTACTGTCTCACATTAGAAAGGATGTTTGGAAGGACTTATACCAACTCTATTGTCTCACATTAGAAAGGAAGTTTGGAAGGACTTATACCAACTCTATTGTCTCACATTAGAAAGGATGTTTGGAAGGACTTATACTAACTCTGCTGTCTCACATTAGAAAGGAAGCTTTATAGGATTTGTACCTGCTCTTGAATTCTGGTTAGATGGCACACATATTAAGTTGGAACACATCAGTTACCTTTGAATTTCCATGCTATTTCAGATATTTTTTTCTGTTAGCATATGCAACATGTGGCATTTGTTTTTTCTTTCAGTATTTCATGGTGTTTGTAGAAATGGAAATAAATTTTAATAACTTTTCAAGCATCAGTCGATTCTTAGAGCTGTCTTTTCTAGAAGAAAATGATAACAGTAATTATTCATTATAAAACTTTTTCCTCAACAATAGCAGATTCACAGGCTTGAAGTAAAAGTAACAAAGAACTGTAAGATACAAGAAAAATTTTCTCCATTCTCTGACTGTTAAGTCAACAGAATAGATTTGAAATAAAAATTTGAAATACATGAAAAAATACTTGGCTGGAAACCAGTATTGCAGCGAAAATGATGACTTTTTTTTTACCAACTGGATGAACAGTTTTCTGTGAGCAGTCAGCTGTTAGTTTACCTGGAATGAAACAACACAATTCTGAATAAGAAGAGTTGAAAATAATGCATGCAAGATTTCACAGCTCTAACATTACTCCTTCATGGTCAGCTTATGAACTTTTCAGCTCACCCTCGTATAGCCTAATTGGTAAGGTATTATCTATTACTACTGTAGTGAATTTGATTCTTATGAGATTCTCCACACTTGTAGCATTCTACTGTCGTAAGCTAAGCTTAATAAATACTGTATTTAAAACTCTAAATAAGGATTTTGAAAAATTATTATCACTAAAAATATTTTGTAATTTACTCCTGATTTGGAGGAATGCATCCTGAAATAGACTGGATTAACAGTAGCTTAAAACTTCATGTCCACTGAAAATCAACTAATAAAAATGATCTAATAAATTTCTATTACTATTATAACAACAAAATAAAATCCGGAATAATCATCAGATTCTAATTAAGAACACTCAGGATTTGCAGCCCTCAATATTTACATAAAGAGGAGAAATACATTGGAAACACTTTCAAGCTCCTCCACCAATACCCTAACATACAATATTATAAATTCTACTCAGGATTTGTAGCCATCAACATAATAAGGTAAATAATAAATATTGCATTGTAGTGAGTTCACATATTTTTATAAACTTGTAAATATAAAATTATTTTTGTAAGTAAACAATCTGATAAAAAAAAGTAGTGTTTAATTCTTTTATTGTAAATTCTGAGGGAAAAAGAGAATTCATAAATCCAGTTTCATATGTCTAGGCTTTATCAAAATTCTAAAAATAGCTTTTTAAAACAATTGCCAATGGAATATACAGTAATAGTGATGTCTTTTTGACACATAATTTTTTGTGGCTACATATGTTATACTTAGTCAAAAATCTTTTGTGTGTGACTGTATGACATGGGATTGACATGGGATCTAAATATTATTTTCTGTTTATGAAGGATTTGAAGTTAGTAGAAAAATATATAAGTAGAAATTGCAGGGTTGATCTGTAGGCATTACAGTTATGATTTGTATGTCTGGTGATATCCAAAATGTTAAAATATATTGTATGGTTGAAATGTTCTCATTGGGACTTTGCCTACAGGCACATCCCAGAAATTCAAGAGACAGTTTTTTTAATGCTATGCTCTTTCCAAACATAGTCAATCATGACTCTCTACAAATAATTTTTCTTTATTATCCGTGAACTGCTACACATTTTTGGGGAGAGATAGTGGAGTGGTTTTCTATTGTCTTTTCATGGTTTGGAATTCAAAATTTTCCTTCTGCTTCCACCAAAAACTAGAGAGGACAGCCTTTCTTGCTATTTAACCAATAACTGGGAGTAGAAGAGATGGATTCATATCTTTCCCAATGATATTAGAGCAAAAGTGCACATAATAGACTCACCTGGAATTTGAACACAGATCACCAATTCCACATTGATATCCACTGCACTATCCCAACATCCCAATATACTTACAGATCATAAAAGATTGTAGAAACTTTGAATTCACTACTTTGAAATAATCAAGATTGAATCGATGAAAAAATAACTTTATAAAATTTATTATCATAAAATATTAAAAGATAATTTTTATTGATAACTAAAATTTTAGGTAGTACTGAAAATATTCTATAAAGTTAAATGCTTTTCTATTTAAACCATCTTGTTTGTTATATTCACAGTATTTGGACTATTATACCTTCTGTCTTTCTTCATGCATTTGTTGCATTTGGTAAATTTTTCAAAATTTTGAACAGAACTCATTATTACAGGAGAGTTGATCTCATTCTGTTTGCCATGTTTAAGGAATATCTCATATCAGTTAATTCTTTCTAGTTTATCAGGCTTTGTGTAACTTATCTTTTTCCCTTGAATCAGAGCATATGACATTTCAGCACTACCCAACTCAGGGATTGAGCTGCTAGGAAACCAGATATGTTTCAATGAACACTAGCAGTGTGATTTTGAATCTTTAAATCTAATATCCATACTCATATGGTAATATCTTTGAGAGTCATTTTTTTTCTTATTAAGAAACTCCCAAATGATATTCATCACTATGCAAGGCCTTCTGAAGAAGTTGTCAGAGATTAATGTGCACTTAATCATATACTACAATGTTTTTCTCTGTCCAAGGCTGGCATGTACTACCTTGACCAACAACCAACCAGAAGACCCAAGCCTGAGTGGGTGGTCTCTAAGCAGTGCTTTGTGATCCTCACTATCTTATCAACATTTGCCTTTTTCTAGCTACATTTATACATTACAAATTAAATTAAGTACAACTGACTATTAAAGGATGAAAAAAATTTTGTGGATTTTGACATCATTTTGGGGTATACGTTTTTTTTTTGTCCAAATCTGTGAATTTGTTATGCTTATGCTCAGGCTTGAAAAAACACAAGAATAAAATTCACTATTTTTCATCCATAATGTTGAATGTATTAAATTATTCAACTTTTTAACAAGAAAAATCTCAAATTGATATAAAAATTGCTACAAAACATTGTTGATTTATTTAAGATGGAATGATATATTATGACATCTAATTTGTATTTAGATACATTGTATTTATTTTGAATTTTTCTATTTGAATTGTTCACTTATATTGCATATGATCCATTATTGTACATAATTAGGTTACAATAAAATTTGTATTTTATATGAATACTACCTTATGAAAATTGAGATGTAATAGAGTCAGGTGGGGGCTCTGACCCTGTCTCTGTCTATTATATTTGCTCCTCAGGGTGTTGATAACCACTCTTTGAATCAGAGTATAAGACTTTTCATCACTACCCAACTTAGGGATTGAATTAGTAGGAAATCAGATATGTTTTTACCAACATTATAACCCAGCAGTGGAATTTTGGATCCTTAAATCTGATGTTTGTACTAAGGTGGTAAAATCTTTCAGTGCCATTTCTTTTGTTACTGGATGTAACATACATCTGAAGAAGGCTGGAGAATATATTAACTGAAATATTTTATTGAAAACAAAGAGACAGATTATTTTATTGCATAATAACAATTATCCTAAAACTTCAAACTTTGTTAATGCTGAGTATTTAAACAATAATTAAATTCACCCCATTTTAAATACAGAAATAGATTTTTCAATTATATTCTTAAAAGTTAGATAAAAAACTTTTAATATAAAAATTAAGAAATCTTCTAAAAAATCCAAATTTTGTAATCCTATTGATTACTAACATAATTTTATTATAGGAATTTCTTGAAAATTTTCCTTGAAACTTTTTAAATAGAAATTGTATGCACTAATTCTAAAAGTCATTGTTCTTTTTTATTATTTATTTACTATGCCATGCATAGAATGTTTCAATACTTTGCTTCATTAAAATTAAAAATAGAAAAAAAGACAAAATTATCAAAATTCCATGTGTCAATTATAAAAAAATTGAGGTGTTACTTTTTATCAGTCATTTATTTGAATATGATTTCCATTATAACTTGCTACTTTTACAGTAGTTTATATTTATTTTTGAAAAACTAATAAATATGTTTTGTATATGAAATGTATAACAAAAAACTTAGTTAACTGATCAAAATTCCAAGTTAAGAAATAACCTTTTAAATATTTTTTGAGATGAGGTATGAAACGACAAACAATCTGATTACAGGGGAGATGAAGCATTTTATTTTGAATCCAAAATAAAAGACTTTTCATTTTTTGTAAATGTTTTTATTTTGTTAATTTTTTGTGATTGTCTGATGTCATATGCGATTGTATACCAGTAGACCTTCCTGTACTTTACTCGAATGAAACATGGCGATACACTAAATCGAGACATGCGCAGTGCGGTCACAGTCGGCCATATTGGTGTGTATGTGTGTGTACAGGTCGCTGTGAGGTGGGCACGTCATAACGCAGGCATTGTCAGACAACGACTCGAGATTAGAAATTCCTAAAGTAACCGTAAGCAACATCTTTACAGACCGACAAAGAGTTCGAGGTTATCTCAAAATCGGTCAGAAGATGTACAGGTCATTAAAGGGCCGTTCGCACATACCTATTTTGTCAATATCGTCCAGCTGGTTGCCCGGACCCCGCCTCTTGTAGGTTGAGGTGCCCGACAGCCCCTGGCTCTATTCAGACCGATTTTGTCTTTATTCGAAATAGTAACAATTGTAGCATTATTAGTTGGTTTGTTTTCAGGGTGTGTTGTGGTTTGCTTGTAAGGGGTTGGGATTGTCTGTTGATCCGTCCATGGAACGGTGTTCCCCTGGCTTTCCGCCAGTGATGTCAACCCCTTCGTCTTCTTGCAGTGGCAATAACTCCATGTCTCTCCTCAAAACCCAACCACCAAGTCATCCTTCTTCAGTTTCTGCTTCTTCAATAATAAACAGACACCCGATTCCACCTATTCTTTGCACGTCCAACAACACTAATAGCAAATCTGCTTTTTGGAAAAAAAGTACCACTACATCAGTTCCTGGCAAGTAAGTTCTGATTTTAGTTTTGTTTGTGAAAATAAAAACTTTAAAAAAGAAAAGTATTCATTTATTTAAGATGTTTTGGATGAATGTTAAGCCCCCACCCCATATAATTGCGAAGGTTTTTTTATGCATTTTTTTTTTTTTTTTTTTTTTTTTAAAGGAAAATCTTTTTTTTATTTTCCTCTTTTCTTTATTTTAAAAATTTTATTAAATATTTTTATCGTTTTATCAACTAAAATACCTTCCCTTTTTTAAAAAAACTTTTGAGTTTGACAGCAATTTTTTTTTTTTTTTATTTACTAATTTTTTTTTTTTTTGTTGTCCCTCCCTTCTGGACCTTTTTTTTTTTTTTTTTAAAGAACGTAACAATAAACAACTTATTACCCCCCCCCAAAAAAAATCCTGATTTGGTCACAGTTAAATTTTAGTTATCACAGAAATTAAGTAAATAAAGAAAAGTAGTAGAAAAACTCTGAAACTCAGCATTAAACATTGGTCAGGATTTGTTTTTAGTCACGTGACCTTGTCATTAAACCTACTGAAGAGAAGCCGGAAAAAATACCCGACTTAGTTCGATAGGTAGTTTTTCTTTTCGGTCTCGAACTTTTTAAAACTTTAATTTTAAATTGTCGACTTCGTATTTGTTTATTCTGGCCTCCAAATAAATAAAGCTGCCAAAATATTAAAATATAAAATGTATTCCTTATATGAGGATTGGCAAAAAATATTACATCATAACCGTGTTTTCGTTGTCTTTGTTGTCCTCTTTTGAATTGTAATGAAAAAAAAAAAAAAAGCATTAACTAAAAAAAATTATTTTTGATCATTTATTTAAGAAAACATTTATTATTTTTTTCTGTAATAAACTTTTGATGGCTTATTAAACTTTTTTTTTTCACTTTGTTTATTAACAATACAATACGTTTATTTACAAATTAAAATTTTATTTTTACCTTTTAGCAAAAATAAATAAAAATGTTATCTTGGAGGAAAACTTTTTATTTTGCAACATTTCTAAATTTTTAAAAGTCTACTTTTAAAATAAGACCATCTTATTTCTTCTGGTATAAAACGCGTGATTAATAAATGTTGCCACCCCCCCATCAAAAAATTAAATAATAATCTGCATTTTACAATGTAAATTATGAACATGTAGATAACGAGGAAAATATCTTGATTTTTTAAAAACTAAAAATATATATAACAACCAACTGTCGTAAAAACTTTGACACTTTTGGTAAAAAAAATAAATCCACGAAGTTGAAATTTGATTTTTTTTTCTTTGCATTTTTAAAGAAATATTTTAAATTAAAAACTGAAAAAAATTAATATTATCTGCTCAGAAATTGCATTTTGAATATGAAGAAATACCATTTTTTTTGTTTTAGAGTTGTTCGTTGTGCTTTAATTGATTTTCTTGTGAAACGATACAAACATTGTTGTTGTCAAACACGTTTTATGATTTTTTTTTTATATCACAATGTTGTCTTCTTTTTATTAGCATCACTTATGGTTTTATTTTTTAAGATAAAAAACTTCTTATGATCTTGTGTAAAACATAAACACGAAATGTGCAAAAAAACAAAAAAAACAACAACAAAAAAACTTTAAACGAAACTGCTTAGGTAAAAAAGTGATGTTTTCCATTTTAACATCCGAAATACTTCAATCGTTTCTGTTAGCTTACTTACCTAACCTCATATTCAAAGCATGCATTTTTTCCATCATAACTAGATAAAAAAAAAAAGAAAGATAAATCAACTCCTAAGATCAATAAACTGTAAATAAAATAAAAAAGGTCGGGCATACCTTCCCGAGTCTTCTTTAGTCTTTTGGATAAAGAAAATTAAAAATCTTACATCGGAAAAAAATAAATTAAATTAAAAAATTAATAGCGTTCGAAATAATTATTCTGTTTTATATCCAAATGAGACAGTCCCGACTTTTTTTTTATTTTAATTGTCTTCGTTTTTCCAGTTCTTGTTGGTTCCTAGAAATAAATGGAATTTTTAAAGGAAGATGTGTGTGTGTGTACTCAGAATATGAAACTAGGTAAAGCAGTAGGTTCAGTATTTGGTCTGCGAAAAAGTTTCGGATGCTAAAATAGAAACTCTCCCTGTAATAAGAAAAGTTAACTATGTCCCTAAAAATCTTTAATTAAACCTTCTGTTAAAATTTTTAACAGAAGGTTTAATTAAAGATTTTTAGGGACATAATACAATACTTTAAGTTTTTTTATTATTCTTTTTAACTTAAAAAGAATAAAAAAAAGTTAAGTATTGTGTGTATTGATCAGTTTAAAAACGTGACGTGAGTTTAATGATTATTTCCCCCTTTTTTTCTATCTACACGTTTGCAAGAATTACGTCCTGAAAAAAGTTTTTTTTTTTTTTTTTTTTCCGATTCTGATCAGTTATTAGTAGGCAATGTTATCTATGTATGTAACATCTTGCTTGCATGTAGTAAGCTTAGCTTAATTTGGCACAGGGACACAAAAGTGGAGCACCCAATCATGGTCAAACTCACAACTTGCTTGCTTGGTAACCATGGCTCTATGTCGGGCACCCAGTTCAATTTTTAGACTAGTCAGTGTATCCCTTTTTAATGCCAGCGAGGAAAGAGATGTGATATTTTGTCATTGTCTCTATTTCCTTTTAAACCCCTTTGATCTTCTCATGTTGTTTGAAATTGAATAACAAAAAGAAAAGGAAAAATACTAAAAACTTAAATTTTGCTTCCATTTTCTTGTTACCGTTTTAAAAAATAACAAAACATTGATTGTTAAATTGAAAACATTTTTTAAAGAGACCGTATCGAAGATTTTTGGCATTTGTGAAGTCTGTAAAAAAAAGAAAACCCCATTCTGTAGTCGGTGGCACTGTTTATCTATATCTACCCCTCAAAAAATAGAAAAAAAATATATTGTTTAACAAAGGTCACGATACCGACTTAGTGTTTTGGGGCCTACCCCATATCTTTACTACTCGTAGGTGTCTTGTCAGATTTCATTGAAGAAAAATGTCTTTGAAACTAGTGCAAGTGAAGACATTTTTAAACTTTTCTTCACAGAAAAGAAAAATGAAACTGCGATAACTTTTTTGTCCTTTTTTTTAAGGTCACTTCTCTGTCTGACATAAAAAAAAGCAGAGTAGAAGTGGATTGGTTCTGAATCTGAACTTTTTCATTGGATTTTAAATTTTAATTTTATGATTTTTAAATTTTTATTTTGGAAATATTTCAGAATCAAATTAGTGTAGATACTTTTTTTCTATGAAAATATTAAAAAATGTTAGGTAGGAAATGACATTATTAACTGCTTCTTGAACTTGATCAGCTGTCATCGTTTTTTTTTTTTTTAATTTTAAATTGAAAAAAAGTCATACAGTCTCCTAAAAACGAATTATATAGTATTGTTTGGGCTTGGTGAAATTCATTTTACATCTCCCACCTTACATGAAAAGACATTGTCACTTGATTTTTCTTTTGTTATTTGTATTGAAATGAGTGACAAACATGTGACGATTGTGTTGGTACTCTCACTATTCAGTGCATTCAAGGTCTTTATGCTTGCACCCCATCTCCCCATCATTAAGTTTCTGTTGTTTAGTGTCACTTTATTGCTTGGTTGTTAATGTTAGTTCATCTAGGGACAGTTGTGTCATCTTCCCTGTCTGTCAAATCCACTTCGTGTTTAAAAACAAAATGTAAGGCTTTTTTGTCAAAAGCTCACTTTTAAATCTTTATTTGTTTTCACTTTTGTTAGATAAATATTTTTTAAACGCTTGCTTTTTGAGCCAAACTCAACAGAGTGAAATCTCTGAAAATTAAAAATTTTTTTTCTTTTTGCTTTAACCCGGTTATTAATTTCTATTGAGGTTTTAAAACTGAATTGTTTCATGAATTTAAATTTTATTCATTTTATTATAAAACTATAAAAAACTATAAATCTTTTTTATAGTTTTCACAAACAAAATCAACAATCAACATTTTGTTCTTTTTTGTCTTTTGTTGACATAAACGAAATCTGATCATAAAGTGAAAGTAAAGCTAAATATTTCAAATTAATTTACAGAAGAAACTGTTCTTAAGACACTTAGCTTGAAATATTGTGGATTAACTATCTACAGTTAGCAATTATCAAAGGACATTTTTTTAAAAATGTAATAACTACTGTTCTATTCGAAATCTTTCTGATGGGCATTTTTAATATTAGGTTGAGAGAGGAATTTAAAAGTATTTCATCTCAAATATTAAAAAGATGTTAGTTATAAAAGATAACATTGGAATTGTCTCCTTCTATGTGTCTATTAGAGAAGTATCGATGTTAAAATTTGTGTATTCTTTTTTTTTTTTTGTCATCTGAGAGGAAAATATAAAAGAAATATTAAAAAATTATTTGTAAATCATTGTGGGCATCAGGTTTTAACTAAAAACGATGGACGACATAAAAGAACGATATATATTTTGCTAGCAAAAACGCACAGTTGCCCACTTGAGATTATTATCCTCATCCATACGGGATAATGACATGGTATCATTACAATAATGATTACAGTTTTACACACACTAAAAAGAAGACTGACTTCTCTCCTAACTGTATTTTCTGGTTATAAGAACAATTTGTTTTGAAAAAGGTGTTCCTGGTTGATTCAGAATACATGTTTTATTATTTTTCTGTGTTCACTTTTATGCCAGTGGCGGTAAATAAAAATTACAACTTTTGATGCATGATGTTTATGTCTGCCATCTCGGCTGTCACAATCTTCCTAACAAGTTACTGATTTTGAACAGACCAGAGACTATCTCCAGATGCTCAATCCATTAACAACTTCATAAATACTTGTATCAGAGGATGTAAAATTTTACAATTTGGTGGTAATAAAACATTAAATATATAGAGACAGGAAAACAAAAATTATTTATGACAGCAACAATAAACAGTTTTCTTTAGCAGTTTGGACTGAAACCTTTATTCACTCTGGGGTTGGGGTAAATTTTTATTC